CTCCTCCTCCTCCGCCGCCTGCTCCTCCGCCGCCGCCGCCGCCGCGGGTTCCTCGACCTCCGCGCCCTCCTCGCCTGGCGACGACGCAATCTCCAGGAGCACGTCTGACGCATCGTGCGCCTCGACCTCCGCACCCGCCTCGGACGCCTCCTCCTGCTCCTTCTCGGCGGCCTCGGTTAAAGGGGACTCCTGCTTCTCCGCGGCCCCGGGCGGCGCCTCCTCCCCGTGCTCCTCCGCGGCCTCGGGCGGCGCCTCCTCATGAGCAGCCAGCGCCGCGTTTGCGAAGACGTCCGCGGCCTCGTTCGCGAAGGCGAAGAACTCCCCGGCGGCATCGCGACGGCCGCGGCCGTGGGGCGGCGCCATGGAGGCGCTGGTGCAGGCGCAGGTGTAGGCGCTGGGCCTGGTGTAGGCGCTGGCGCGCCACCTGCTGGGCCCCAAATGGCTAGTGTGATGCATGCAATGATGTGCGCAATGTGCGCACATGCCCAGCGATCGCCATCGCTCCTCCGCCTCTTGCTCTTCCACCTCATCCACCTCCCCTCCCATCACCACGTCCACTCTAGCTTCGCCATCCTCCAAGCGACAGCTGCAATTCCACTCGCTGAAATCCCCAAGCGATCGCCATCGCTGCAATCTGCACTCGCTGCAAACTAATCTACAATCCCTGCAACCACAATCGATCATCATCGCTGCCCTGCCCAACCGACCTCAAGCGATCCCCATCGCTGTCCTGCAACTCCATCCCTGCACCCCCCCGAACAACCATCCCTACACCAAGCGATCATCATCGCTGCCCCTCCTCCACCACTCCCCATTCATAGCCATAATCGGCTATCTAGTCGTGTGCGAGCACACGCATGCAGGCTGCACCGTCGCAGCGCCCGTGCGAATTCGCCAGATCAGGCGCAGCTGCCGATCAAGTGTGGATGCCGAGCTTCTTCTCCTGTTTGCGCACCCACTTCTTAGCCGCAGCGATCGCCTTGTCGCTGCTGCCGCCGTGGTCGCTGAACTTGATGGCCGTCGACTGGCCTGGACCTTTCGTACCCGTGCGGCACATGACCTGGTTGCGGGTCTTCGCCTTGGCCTTGGCTTTGGGGGGCGCGGGGTGGCCGTCGCCAGCGGCCTTGCGCTTCTTCTTCATCGGCGGCGGCGGCTCCGCCTCCTCCACGCCGTCGGCGCTCTTGTTATCGGAGTCGCCCCCGTCGCTGCCCTCCGACTCGTCCTCGCTCGGCGGCGTCTTGGCCACATCTGGCAGGCATTGTTTGCCACCGAGCTTCGCGAAGATCTTGTCCCTGGCCTCCTCCACGCTGTGCGTCGTCGGCGGCGGCGCCGACTCCGCGTCGCCGATCGGAATCGCGCCGTCCGTGGCGGGCGCAATGGGCTGCGGAGTGCAACGCCTGCATGGCACGCCGTCTCGCGCACCTTGGCGGCCGCCACCCTGCATCGTCATCGCCCTTTCCGCGAGCTGCAACGCCGCGTCGACGGACGACCGATTGCCATCGGACGTGGCCTTGAGGCGAGCCTTGGACTCTCGCATCGGGACCGCGTCGCACAGCACCATCAACATGGCGCGGTCCAGCGGGCACTCGTTTGCTGGGGCCTCCCCTCCGCCACCATACGCGCGCGAGTACCACTCGGGGTGCACCTTCGGCATGTCAGTCGGGTCCGCAGGGAGCTCGCTGACGAAGGACGGCTCGGCCGCGGCAAGCTGCTTACACAACTTCCACGGCAGGAGCTTCTTGGCGTATGTTTTCGCCCGCTTGAAATAGCCCCACTGTGCCATCGGGCACGTGCGCATCGTCCAATCGAAGCCGTCCACGAGGAGGGCGACGCACGCCGCCAGTTGAACCGTCGGCTCATGCAGCGTGCGCCACCCAAGGGATTTGCAAGCCTGCAGGACGACCGCAACCCGACCCATGAAGTCGTTGCGCTCGTCCAGGATATTGCCCCACTGCCTCTTCGTGAGGTAGGCGAGGATGGACGAGAAGTCCTGCATCGGCGTCCTGCCCGACCCCGCCAGCTCCGCGCTTGCGGCCGCGTTAGCGGCCAACATTTGCGCCGAGGCCGTCGCCGACGTCGTGGCGCGGCCGAGCAGCGCGGCAAGCGCCCTCTTGCCGAAAGGCATCTGGCCGATCTCCAGGACCAGCATGGCCGAGTCCTCGGCGGAGATGAAGGTCCACGGCGCCATGATGGCCATCGCCATGGCGCTCTGCGCCTCCGCGATCTCCTTGTACGCGTCGGACTTCTTCCCGATCTGGGCGAGGACCGACTTGGCGGCCTTCAGCTGCTTCGCCAGGTCGGCCGCCATGGCGCCCGCGGGCGCCACTCGCGTCGCGCGCGCGGCGCGACTGCAAAGCCGACAACGGCTATGCACAGCGATCGTTCAAAACGATTGCCGCCTACTTAAGTTAGCGATCGGTATCGCTTCTCTGCTTCTCCCTCCTCCTCCCCGCCCTCCCCCAAGCGATCGCTATCGCTTCTCCTTCTCCTCCTCCTCCTCCTCCTCCAAGCGATCGCCATCGCAACCTCCCCCCATCCCCCTCCTCCTCACACAAGCGATCGCCATCGCTACATCCCCCGTCCCTCCCCCTCCTCCTATGATCCCTCCTCCACCTCCTCCTCCTCTCTTGTTTTTGCAGCCCGTAGGGTTCGGTCCGTGCACGTCCTACTCCCCCCTCCCCCCCTCCCCCAAGCGGTCGCCATCGCTGTTCCCCCCGCCGCCCCTCCTCCTCCTTCTGGGGGAGGTGAAGCGACGGCGATGACGATGAGGAGAAGGAAAAAAGATGAGGAGGAGGAAAGCGATTTCGATCGCTGAAAGGAAGGTGGACGATGATAAAGGAGATCACTGAGCGCCGCGCGCAGCCGCTCTGCCTCGTGGAGGCGCGCGGGGCTCGCGCGCGCGGGGCGCGGCGGCGCGATGTGGGGTGCTCCGCGCGAGCTCGCGCAGGGGGCTCGCGCTTTGGCGCTCAGGCGCCAGCGCGACAACCTGCTGCAGCAGCTCGCGGAGGCGGATACCCCCTCCTCCCAGCGATCGCCATCGCTCTCCCCCGAATCCTCCTCCTCCGCTTCCTCCCCTTCCTCCTCCTCCTCCACCTCCTCCTTCCCCCTCCTCCCCCTCCTCACCCCTCCCCCCACCCCCTCCTCCCTTCACTCCACCGTCCCTCTCCCCCTCCCCCCGCCTCTGCAGACTGTCAACGCGGAGCAGACAGAGCGCGCCGTGCAGCTCTCGCTGTGGCTGGAGGAGGCGGGAAACGATGACGACGAGACGACGACGACGGCGGCGGCGACGACGACGACGAATGAGGCGGAGCGCGAGCTAGTGATCGCGATCGGCGAGAGGGGCGCGGTGCTGCGGCGGGGGGCGGAGCTGAAGGCGGAGAACGCGCAGCTGAGGAAGGAGGCGCAGGAGGCGCAGCTGCTGCGGAGGGAGGAGCAGGCGCGCCTTCAGGCGGAAAGTGCGCAGCTGAGGGCGGAGAAGGCGGAAAAGAAGAAGAAGAAGAAGGAGAAGAAGGAGAAGAAGGAGAAGGAGGCGGCGGCGAAGGCGAAGGCGGCGGCGAAGGCGGCGAAGGCCAAGGCGGCGCGCGCCGCGGCGAAAGCGCCAGCGGCGGCGAAGGCGCCGCCAGCGCCGCCAGCCAGCGGCGGCGAAGGCGCAAATGCCGCCGCCGTCGACTCCGCCTCCGCGGCGAGGCCGCGCGCCCGCAAGCGCGGAGCGCGCCGCGCGCCCGCAAGCGCGAAAACAAAAGACCAGCGATCGTAATCGCTATCCCCTCGTCCTCTTCCCCCCGCCCCGCCCTCCCCCAAGCGATCACCGTCGCTTCTCTTCCCCCTTTCCGTCCTCATCCTCCTCCTTCCAAGCGATCGACATCGCTTCACCTCCCCCAGCGATCGCCATCGCTTCTCCTCCTCCTCCTCCTCCTCCTCCTCCTCCTCCTCCTCCAAGCGATCGCCATCGCTACCTTCCTCATCCCCCTCCTCCTCACCCAAGCGATCGCCATCGCTTCTCGTCCTCCTCCCCATCCAAGCGATCGACATCGCTACCTTCCCCCCATCCCCCTCCTCCTCACCCAAGCGATCGCCATCGCTACCGCGGCGAGCACCCACCAGGCGGCGCCGCGACGAGCTCCAGGTCGATGGGCAAATCCCAAATCCTGAAAAACCTCTTCAAATCCAGATAACCTCTCCAAATCCAGAAAACCTCACCAAATCCAAAAAAGATTTCCCCAAATCCGGAAATCGTTCCTGAAAACTACATCCACCTCCTCCTCCTCATCCCTCCTCCCCCTCCTCCTCCTCCTCCTCGTCCTCCTCCTCGCCCTCCTCCTCGTCCTCCTCTGCGTGGGGGCCGCGGGCCGCGACGTCCCTGCGGCGCGGCGGGCGGGCGCGCGGCGGGAGGGGAAGAGAAGCGAAGGAGGGGTGGAAGGAAGTTATAAATTATTTATAAGTAACATATATGTTACTTATAAGTATTGCATCTCAGCACGGGTAAGTAACCCAGCGGTAGTTATAAGTATCTTCCAGCGTCATTAATAATCAGCGAAATACTTATAACTAACCAAAGTATAGTTATGCGACAAGACAAATACTTAAGGGCACATAGAAATAGTTAGAAATACTTAGGTACTTATCCCTTGCTATAAGTATCTTATACCTAGCTGTACCTATGGTGCAACTAGCATAAGAACCACCATTCTCGAAGCATTCCTCGATACATGGCCGCCTCCGGCGCCGGGAGGCGCCGAGAACATCAGCCACGTGTGCTGATTCTCCCCCCCCCCCCCCCCTTTGCTATCCCGCCCTTTCGCCCGACCCGAAAAAAAGGTGCAGGCCTCTCGGGGTCGGCGCTGCGAAAACGTTGCGACGTCGGGGGGCTGCGTCTTGGGACCCGCTGTTCTGCCCCGTGGTCAGCGCTGATCGCGGCGCCCACCCAGAAGCAGTCTCCTTTGCGCCGCTGGCATTCCTCGTCCTCCTCGTTCTCCTCCCTCCTCCCTCCTCCCTCTCCTCCCTCCCCTCCCTCCTCAGCCGCCGTCCCGGCTCCGAGGTCCTTTCCAGCACACAGTGTGCTGCTGCAGGACCCCGTCCAGCGGGACAGCTGACATGCGCGCCGGCCGCCGCCTTCGCTCCTGACATGCTCCAGCTGGCCGCGCTCACGAGGCAGATCCGGGACCCTCCCCGAGGCTTTCACGCGCTGTTTTTCGGCGACTGGGCTATTGTGTGTGCGCGTCGGCCGTGCGCCTTGGATCATGGGCGTCGCGTAATTGGCCAAGCACTGCTGGCCTCTGTCAATGCGCCAGCGCTTCCGCCTGGCATCTGGCAGCCACCAGCTTCGCGCCCGAAGCCCCGGCGATGTTGTTGGACACGCTGCTCTCGGCTCTCGTGGCGCCCGCCGTCGGAGTGGCTGTGCCCAAGGGGATGAGCCAGCACGCATTCCTGACGGAAGCTGATGGCAGGTTGTTTGGTGGAGCGGAGGTGGGCATGCGCCTTGCCGAAGCAGCCCCCACCTCGCCCGACATGCCGCAGCCGCCAGCGACAGTTTCGGCACGATCTGGAGAGCGCCACAGGATCTGCCAGCGAAGGATCTCTGACATTCACTCGCGGCGCGACCCCGACTCCTTGTTCCAGATCGAATCCTGGCTGGCCAAGTATAAGGGCTCCGAGGACATGATCTATATTGAAGTGTGCAAGGAATGCGGTGTCCAGCCGTCCCCTCTCTACGAGGGTCGCCCTCCAGACAGTATTTGCCTCGCCCTTCTGCTCAGAGTGTAGCTGAGGTGCGCGCAGCGTTTGTGCAGGCTCTTTCTTCGTGGGGCGCCCTCATTCGCTTTCCCCGCGGGCTCAATTTACTTGCGCCCCCCCACCCGCCACCTCAACAGGTACTTCGTATGATGCTCTGCCATCAATGGGGCCCCCCAGTGTCCATTAGGGCACGCCTCGCGCCATGCCCCTCGTCGCACACACCTCCCTCCTCCCTCCGTCATCTTTCCTCCTTCCTCCCCCTCCCCCTCCCCCTCCTCCTACTCCGCACTCGTTCTTCACAATTATTTGGCCCCTACGTTCCTCACTCCGAGACCTCCGGAGTCAGCGCCGCCAGGCAGGGCGCGCGGCAGGGGCCGAGGCAAGGGCCGAGGCAGGTGTCGCCGCGGCGAGCCCGGGGCCAAGGAGCAGCTTGTTGGCACCCAGCACCTCATCGCGGGAAACTGAGCATTAGATTTTGTTTCCCGGAGCCTCCGCGCGGGAAACTGAGCATCAGTTGTGGGTTCTCCTGAGCCGCCGCCCATGGGCGGGAGCAGCCACCCGCAGGGAGTTGCCTGGTCTTCGTCGGGGCAGGCGCCGCCGCCAGCGAGCGCGAGGAGCTCCGCCGATCTCTTGGCCAGGGATTTCCTCCGCCTCGTCTTCCCGCGCGCGCGAGGGCACAATGTTTTTTCCGCTGAGACCGGGGAGGAGGGGGGAATTATGTACAAAACAACTGTTTTATGCAACATTCCCCCCTGTTGTTTTCCTCGTGCAAAAGGGTAATCCAGCCAGCGTCTCCGCACTCAACACGGGTGCCGCATGGCCCCTTGCTTGCTGCGCGCGGGCATCAAGGGTGCCAGCTGGGCCTGCGCAGTTTCTAGAGGGGCCCCGCGTGTTCGTTATATCGCGACGGCGTATAGACAGACACCCGCCAGGTTCATGTGTTTTTCACCGCCATGACGCACCGCAGTTTTGAGTGAGAGAATCGTGCTAATTTTGCGTGTGTTCCAGCTTGTGCAAGGAAGGGTTGTTGAACCCAAGGCGGAGTCAGTCAGTCAGTCCCCCTCCTCCTCCCCTTCCTCCTCCTCTTCCTCTTCCTCCTCCTCCTCTTCCTCCTCCTCCTCCTCCTCCTCCTCTTCCTCCTCCTCCTTTTTGTTTCTCCTTTTCCCCCTCCTCGTCGGCCGCCCCGCCTGCGCAGGTCGCGGGCTGCCGGGGTTCCCCGCAGGCTCCTTCGCCGGAGCTGGGCGCTCGGAGGCATGTGTGTTCTGCCGGAAGTGTCCCCGCCCACTTCCATCTAGGCCTCCCAGCTGGGGTCCGATCATCACACAGAATACTCGGGGGAGCGTAAGACCCGGGTTTGCCGGGACTCGGGTTCGCCATCGTTTTTTGACGACCGCGACTCGGATTTTGACGAGGAGGAGTTTCGTGGGATGTCTGCAGCGGGAGGCCTCGTCAAAATGCAGGCTCGGCCTCGTCATTTTTTTGACGACCTCGTCGGGGATTTCCGAGTCCCCCGTACCCGGGTCTTACGGGTCCCCGAAATACACATGGGCGTTGAGCGCGCATTCCCCGCGCCGACGTCGCCGACGCATGACCGATTGGAGGGGGCGAACTGGGCCATCCAGGGGGTGGATGAACAAGTGGGCCGTTCATCGGGTGGATGGAAGCGCGGTGGTGCGAGAAATCACAGCTGGGATTGCGGATGGCTCGGCCGTCCACTTTCACCTCGTCCCTCAACCATCTTTGCTGGAATCAGCTCCTGCCAGCTAGACAGCCCTGGGCCCTCTCGACTGTCTCCACTTCTCTTGCGTATTTAATGGTCCCACTGGCTTTCGATCTCTTCTCCCTTCATGTTTTCTCAGTGTCCTCCACACCTGTACTGCTGCCCTTCTAGACGCGGTGCACTCGCCTCGACGTTGGGTTGTCAAAAAAAGGGGGAGGAGGAGGGGAGGAGGAGGAGAAGGAGGAGAAGGAGGAGGAGGGAGAGGTGATAATGGGATGAATGAGGGAGGAGGAGGAAAAGGAGGTTCATAAGGATGAGCATGGAGGACGATGAGGGAGGAGGGCGGGAGCAGGATTGCGGAGGATGATGGAGGAGGAAGGAGGGGGGGCGGAAGGATGAGGACATGTGAGGAGGAGGAGGAGGAGGAGGAGGAGGACGACGACGACGCGGGGCGAAAAGGGAGAAAAGGGACGACGAGGTGCGGGGCGAGAGGGCAGGAATGCTGGCGGGAGGGAGGGATGGAGGGAGGCATGGGAGCAGGAGAAGGGGAGGGAGAGGCGGGGTGGTTTGGGATCGGTGCAAGGGCGCCCTGGGTCGCGGGAGCCAAGGCGGCCAGGCGCGCGAGTACCCTTCCCCCGAGGCGCGGAACGCCTTTCCGAGGGAGCTCTGGGAAGGGGTTCCATGAGCCGGGTGGATGGCCCACTTGGGGCCTCGGAGCATCAGCCGGACGGATGGCCCACTTGGGGCCCTGGACCAGTGCAGGGGTACTGGGTGCCCCGGTGTGATGTTCCATGAGCCGGGTGGATGGCCCACTTGGGGCCTGGGGGCGGCGAGGGGGTTGCGCGCAGGGCGTGCGAGGGTCGGGGGCGCGCATGAGCCGGATGGATGGCCCACTTGGGGCCTCGGGGGGGGCGGCCTCCAGGAGCCGGGTGGATGGCCCACTTGGGGCCTCGGAGCATCAGCCGGACGGATGGCCCACTTGGGGCCTGCATTCGGCCTCCGCGGAACAGCGTTCGGGAAGGGCTGCGCGCCTTCCCGGAACAGCGTTCGGGAAGGGCTGGCGGCGGAGGGAATGGGGAGGGGTGGGAGCGGGAGAGCACGAGGTTGGAAGAAAGGGGCAAATGGAGGGAGGGAAGGGGAAGGGGACGGGGGAAGGCGAAATAGGACAGGGGAGCTGGGGGAAGGGAGGGGGAGGGGGGGGGGGAGGGATGAGGGAGGCAGAGTGCGAGAGAAAATGGGCGCGGTTGGCAGATGTAAGTAGCGGGCTAGCATCAGTGAGGCGCTGAACGACACTGGTGTGGGACGCGGGGCGACGACGACGACGACGACGACGACGACGACGACGCGGGGCGAAAAGGGGAGTGAAGGGAGAGAAGGGGAGGTGGCGGCGGAGGGGGCAATGGGCTGCGCGGTGGGCGGAGGCAGGGGGAGGGCCAGCACGGGAGCGTGCACGGGGCAGACCAGGCGAAGTGGCCACTTCGGCGCCACAGAAAGGGCGCGGCGGTCGACGGGCACACCTAGGACGAGAAGGAGAGAGGGTGGCAGAACAGCAATTCCAAGGCTGCCCCTCGCAGACAATTTGGCTTCACTCGTGCGGCCTGATCCCGCTTCGAGGTGTCTCCATGTCGACGCGGTAGCGGGCCGTGGGCCGAGGCGACCGAACTGCTCCGAACGCTGGGCGGAAAGGCGTTCCAGAAATCTTGGAACGCCTCCCCGAAAGCCGTTCCATGCACCCTTTCGACGGCCCACCTTCTGGATGGCCCTGTTCGCCCCGCCTAAACCGATGCGTCGCCGATACGTCGGCGACGAATTTGCGACGCAGCGCGATCCTCCGGCGACATTTCTACCGGCCTCAATCCAGCAGGTTTTTACTCGAGGTGGATGCGGTCTGGGGTGGCGCACCAGCAGCCATGTGCTTGGACTCGCTATCGCTCAGACGTCCATTCCCTGCGCATTCTTCCAACCTGCCACGTCGCGGGCGTTTTCCTTTAGGGCGGGTGGCACTGGGTGGTGGCTTAGGCGGGGGTGGGGGGGAAGGGCCCTTTAGGGGCCCTTTTCTTCACTAGAAGTTTTCCTGGTCCATTGGTACCCGCCATTACCACCCTCTCGGTCCTCGCTCTTGCTAGAGGTGGACCCCGCCGCGTTCTAGGCGTTCCACGCCTGCGGCTCGAGCTCGGCTTTCTCCGCGGGGAGGTTCATCGCTCCTCGCCGACCCGTCACGAATTTGAGGCCAAGTTCGAGCGCGAGGAGTTCCGGTCTGGGGGCAGAAGGACGGCGTCTTCTTGACGTGCTCGCAGCCCCCGTCAGCAGCTCCCATCCCGTGCTCATAATCCCAGTGACCTTTCGGCGGCGACGGTCGCTACTGTAGCGGTTTCGCTGTCCTGGTCGAGTTCCTTTTCGAAGGGGCCCGCGAATGCCCTCAATCTCGCCACAGCAGTTGTGAGCTTCTGACCCCCGGCCACTCCGCGCTCCGCGCGGCGGCCTGGCCCTGGATGCGGACGGTCGGGATGGGTACGGAAAGAACGGGTACGATGCCCAACAGCAGTTTCGTGTGTTGCTAGAATTGCCCATGGTCCGAGGCGCCCCCGGGATTTCCAAGGAGGCCCCCACGGCCTCCAGAGCCCCCCATCACGAGTTCCAAAGGGCCCCAGAGGCTCCGAAGTGGAGCGAAAAGCTGGGGGCACCTTGGGCCATGGGCACCTTTAGCCAACCCTGAGAAGAATGGGCACGATGCCCAACAGCAGTTCATGTTCATTTTGAGCAGAACTCGCTGTCCGCGCCGCCGCGAACGTCGCTCACTGAAGACAAGAGGCTGCTGTTGGTTTTGGAAGCAATGGAAACCCCTGCCAAGAAACACCCTGCTTGCCTCCAGGGTGTCCTGGGCTTCGCTATGGAAAGCGTGACGTTACAAAACCAAAAATCAATGGACGTCCTGGGGTCTCAGGGTTGGGTCTCTTGTGGAAGGTTTCTTGTGGTCGAGCTCCTACTGTAGCATCTATTGGTGGGCATCGTACCCCTTGTTTCCGTCCCCGTGTCGGGCGTACAAATTGATTGTCGGCAGTGCCGGAGACCGCCGACGCTCGAGACGCAACGTAAAATACGCGGCCAGCGTCTCCCCCGCGAGCACTCCGCATCGCCCTGAAGCTCCGTGCGCTTCGCCACCTCAGTGACCAGCGCATCGCCGATCGTCGCTCTCGTGTGCTGGCAGAAAGCGGGGTTCAGCGCAAACGGGGTTCAGCAAAAACGGCGTTGGATCCTGCATGATTCTTAACGCCGGCTTTGTGCTTAGCTGGGTTTGTGAGCTGGTCGCGTCCCTGGAGTGGTCTGACACACATTTGCATATACACACATATATATAGAGAGAGAGGGAAAAAAAAGAGAGAGAGAACTATGTAGATGTGTACATACACATGGATTGGCGGAACCTTGCAGCTATTTTTTTCTGGATCAGCCTGGATAAGCCCACGTCCGACCCTGGGCACTGAACCAGGAGGTCGGTGCCGCGGCGGTCATCGCCAGCACAAGCCCTTGCCGTTGCGCGCCCGTTCAGCTTACGCTCAGCCTTCGGACATCGGAGGTTGCCGCTCATCCATCTTGGTTCCGGCAAAGTGCCGGCGCACGTCCCGCTGGAAGGACAGCTCTGGATTCGGGGCGATCGACACTGATTCGGAAGCAATGGGTACAAAGCCCGATTGCGTGCAGGTTTAGTTGTTGGCGAGGCTGCGGTCGTTGTCCAACAGCGGCCGCTTCTGGTTCTGGCAGCATTAATTAGTTGATTGGCATCGTGCTCATTTTTTCCGTACCTACTTCGGCGGTGCAAATGGATTCGAAGAGCGATTTCTTGTCCCGTGCGCAGCTGGAAAGTATGCGAGGGTGTCCTTTCTTTACCCGGCTAGGCGCCAGGCCTGCTGACTAAGGGTAAATAGGCAGTGATCAGAAAGCATGCGTCTGGCTGTCCAGTCAGACCCTACATCCCTGACGCCAGGAAGCCGGGCCCACTACGTAACGGTGACAATGCGCCTCAGAGCCGCTTGCAGTCTTCCCTACCTCCCTTCTCCCTCGCCTCCTCCCCTCTCCTCTCTATCATTCCTTTCTCCTCTCTACTCCCTCCCCCTCCCCCCCTTCCCGCCTCTCTTCTCCCTCGCGCCCCCCCCCCCCACAGCCTCCGTTTCCCCCCTCGGCTTGCCCCCTCATCCGTCCTCCCTCCTCCCCCTCCCTCACATCGCCCCTCCCCTCTGGAGTCCCCTCTCCTCCCCCGACCACTGCGCCTGGCCCAGGGTTCTCTGAGCACTGGCCCAAGGTTCTCTCCGAGAGAGAGACGCGGGCCAGGGGCCTGGAGGATTAAGTCATGTGCGTCGCTTCGCGATGCCCATTTCCCCCCCAAACGCCGGGGAGGTGCGCCATGGGCGAGCGCTGCCGCTTCGCGCACGGCCCCGCCGAGCTGCGCAAGCTGGACTCGGGCGTCTCCCGCGGCGCGCCCGTCGCCGCCGTCGCCGCCGCCGGCGGCCTCGTCGTCGTCGTGGCCATCGTCGTCGGCGCCCTCGTTGTCGTGGTCGTCGCCGTCTGTGGCGTCGTCGGCTGCCTCGCCTTCGTTGTCGGCGTGGAAATCGTCGTTGGCGGCGTCGTCGGCGGCCGCGTCGGTGTCGTCGATCTCGTCGCCCGTCGTCGGCAGAGGCGTGGTGGTCGTCGTTGTCTTTCTCGTCGTCTGTCATCCTCGGCGGCGTCGTCTGCGGGTGTTGTGAAATAATCGACGTCCTTTCGGTGGGCCCCTTGGAAGCATGCAGTTCTTGCAAGTTGCGGACCGCCTCGAAGTCTTGGCGCGACACTCCCGCGCCCAGACTCTCAGCTGGCACTCCTGGAGGCACGTCCAGGGAAGCTGGTTGCACACGGCTTACTGGGTCTTGGTCCTTGCGGGTCCTCTTTTGCAGGCGGTCGAGAGCGCTTGGATGCCCCTCCTAGCCCCTGTCGTTGCTTGAGGCTTCGGCCTCCCGACTGGAACCGGTTCTTTTGAAGTTCCGGGAGGTCAGCAATTCGAGGCAGACAGTTCCCATTCGTTGCACGATTGCCCGCAACATAGCATACGGTTTTGGGTTTCATGCTCATTTGGGCCCCTTACGTTTTTAAGGAAAGAAGGATTCCCTCTTCAGCATTCCTTAGTAAATATAAAGATTCCTTAGTTCAGATTCCTTATTAAGGATTCCTTTTAGTTCATAGTCCTCAATCAGGATGCCTCAGCACATATTTCTTATTACGGATTCCTTAGCAAATCTTCCTCATTCAGGGTTCCTTAGTACATATTCCTTAGTATGGGTTTCGTATTACGGATTCTTGGGGGCCCGAATGAGTTTCTAGCCCATTTTTGTAATACGTGTGGCTCGCAGCCACCTCGAGACTTCGGAGGCTTGCTCAGATATGGGCGGCGCCAAAAAACACGGGGTCGCCCGCGCCGACAGTCGTGCGGAAGTTGCCCGCGTAAGGTCGCGCGTAAGCGCCCTCGTCTCCATTGTGGTGTGCCGCGCCGGCGGCCGCGTAAGCCATCTTTTAAGGTAGTTATGGCATCTCGCGTAAGACTCCTCCTCGATCGTCGCTCATAGGTGGCCCCTCAGGGACAGGCAGACACTCCGATCCACAATTCAGAAGGAGCGGTTCCAGAGCTAAGTCGGCCGTCAGAATTCAGGAGGAGAAAAATCACACAGTCACAATGAATCGTCGATGCCCCAGGAACGTATGGGAAAATACAATGAGCGGTGGGGGGGAAGGCAGACACCCAGAAGATTTGGGAAGACATGGCGAACCCTGCTATCCGTGTCTATCTGCGTTGTGTGTCCCAGCACCCCGGGCCCCGCCCACTCCGGCCGCCCGAGGCCCCGCCCGCCTGTGCCATGTCTCCCCAATTAGAGCTGTGCGTAGCCCGCCTAGCTTTTATAGGAAGAGGTTCGCTCTCGCCCCGCAGGCCAAAAAGTTTGTGTGTCCCAGGGGCCCTTCAAGCATGGCGGCGGCGGCGGCGGGCCGAGGCCTGGCAGCACAGCAAGGCAGGGCGGGCGGGGCCGGGGCTCTGGCGGGGGGAGCCCGCCCATCGGGCAGCAACGCGTATAGGCCTCGGTCCCGGGGCACGGCGTCTCCCCCGGCGTACAGTGCCGTTTTTAATACATGCTCCGCGTGCGGATCATGTTTAAAAAATGCAGGGATTTGGTATTTCAAACAAGGATGAGTTCGTGCATACATTTATGCATAAACTACTCATGTATCAAAATCACACGTGTTTACCATCCGATGCATTGAGAACTGCCCAGTACTCTTAAGTCGGGCCCGTCCCTCTACAGGAGGCAGATTCAAGAATAGTGCAAACCATAGTCTGGGGACTATGTTTTTTTTGGCCATTTGGGAGTAAATCGGGGCTATGTGTTATTTGTCGTCGAAAGTCCCCCTGTAGGGGGACACGTCCGACGTAAGAGTAGGCCTCGGTCCTGGGGCGACGGCGTTTCCCCCTGCGTACTCCCGCATGCTCTTCCTCCTCATCTCGGCGGGGAGCTTCGCGCTGTTCGAGGTCCGAGGCGGTCTTTCATAGTTCTCAGCCGTTGGGGGCCGCGTTCGAGCCCTCGGAGCCCCCGAAACTCGATCCGCGACGAGAAACCGCGTCGGATGGAGCCCGGCAGGGGTCCTGTGGGACCGATTTTGGCCGATATTCGACTTCGTGCCCCGGGGGGGGGTGTGAGAAGAAGAAGGCCTTTGAGGAGGCGGCGGGGCTTCTCGAAAGTTCTCTGGCCTTCTGAGGAGTTCTCTGGCCTTCGGGGAGGCCCGAGAAGACTTCTCGGGAGGGCGGGGGGCTTCCGAGCCTGCTGAGAAGGCCCGCCCCTTCTCGCTCTCCAGGGCTCGGCGCCGATCATCCGCCTCATTTTCCTACCCAAGCCCCGGACGTCGGGATTTCGGGAGGGGGGGAAGACAAAAGCCCAGAACATATGGGAAAATATGGGGAATCCTGTTATTTGTGTGTATTTATTTGTGTGTCCCAGGGCCCCTTCATCCTCATCTTCCCGCCCAAACCCGCGACGTCGTGATTTTTGCTCACAGCGCCGACCCCCAGAGGTTATTGACCCCTTTCTTCGGATGCAACTCCTGGGAGGTCAAATTTTGATTTTGCCCTGATCCGAAGTCTGGCTTAATCCCGCTTCATCCCGCTTAATTCCGCTTACTCCGGTGCAATCCCGCTTAATCCGAGGCCCACTCCGGCGTAACATCTCCCAAATTGGGCTTAATCCTCTTCAATATTTCCGACGAAAACCTCCCAGTAGTTGCCTCCTAACCCTCCCCGGGGCCCGTTTTTCATCCTGAGTCGTTCTCTGGCGGTCCCGAGGCCCCGCAAGGGCCCCCAGAGGCCGAACGTAGCGACACACCTCCCGTCTTGATTTTGTTACAATGCGGGGGGGTCTTGGTATCCGTCCTCCCCCCCCCCCCCTTGAGCATGTGGTCGACGTCGCTCAGCGCATGGCGGGCATGATGCGCGGCGCCGCGTCGACGTTTCCAGTATGCGTGCCCCCGACCCCGAAGGAGTGGAGGGCACCGTAGCCTCGACCACCAGCGGGCTCAGAGAAGACCCTGGCCTTCCAGAGTGCTAAGGCATGACCCTCCAGACCGAAAGACCTACCCAGACCTCCTCGCGTTGTGAAAGAAGCGCGACGGCAGGTGCGTCGCTGTGTTCGGCCTCTGGGGGCCCTTCCCGGGCCTCGGGACCGGCCAAAGACCGACTCAGAATGAAAAGCGGGCCCCGGGGAAGGGGTCCAGACCTTTGGGGGTCGGCGCTGTGAAAAAGAATACGACGTCGCGTGGCTGAGCACCTGGACTGTCTAAAACCTCGACTTGAACTTAGATGTCGAGGTCCTGGTGCTGTCTGGTTGCCCTCCTGGATGGTCAGAGGAGGGCTCCCGGACTCCCCCGCCCCAACACCCCTCCCTCGTCCCCGTCCTCCCTCCCCAGAACTTTGAGGAGAAACAGGTATCCATACCGCTACCCTTCCCTCGTCTTCGCCGCCTGGGGCCTCCTGGGAGGCCTCCGACAGAGGATGTTCGATTCGGCAGCAGGTCAGAAGAGGAAAAGGTACCCAGACCTCTACCCTTCGCCAGTTTCCCCTTTTGGGGCCTCCTGGGAGGTCCTCGTCGCTACCGCTGGATTCGCTTCGAATTTCTAGTCAGAAGGCACGCAGGGGAAGGTCATTCAGCGGGCGGTATCGGTACCTTTTGGTTCCAAGACCCCCGACGTCATGGTTATGTTACAAGTGAACCTCGGGAGGTTTCGACACATTCCCCATGCAGGACGTGCTTTTCCTCCTTGGGTCGCCTCTTGACGGTCTCTGGGTCCGGAGCGGGCCCCCAGGAACCGAAAACGATCCACAGGTGTGGTGCGTGATGTGTGTGCATGGCCCGAAAGGAGTGGGTCTCTCTCCCCCCCCTCCCATGGAGAGCGTTTCTAGGTATCGCTCGGACGTCTGCACTTTTTCTCGGCGGGGATTATTGAGGAGCATCTTGGATCATCCTGCGAAAAAGACACGCGCGATACCGAAAATAGCACAGGGAATGGACGTCCGAGCGACGGGGAGGTTCTTGCTGTTTAGGGGTTCTGGCACGCGGGGGAGGGGGCGTGGCGAGGCCCCGCAGGGCACGCTTGGCTCCACGCCGCAAGCCAGGACTCACTCTTGGCATCGCTCGGACGTGTGTATTTTTTCTCGGCGACGGCCATCGAGTACCATCCTTGATCATTGGGCGAAAAACAAAAACACGCGCGACATCGAAAAATACACGAAGAATGGACGTCCGAGCGATGGCGAGCCCAGCATTGCTTGAGAAGGGGGCGGGCGAGGCTAGGAGCCAGGATGAGGCTACATTCGTTCCAGAGCGTTCCGGAACGTTCCGAAGAGGCCGTGGCGCCCGATGCCTCTGCCAGGGCCGCCAGATGTCAGAGATGATTGGTGCATTCCCGGAATTCCCACCAGTATCTCTCCACGTCCTGGCTCCATCTGATGGGGGGAGGCCATGCAAGTACATTCGCCTGAGTCTAACGAAAACGCCCTCGAGGTCTCTCTCGGCGGCGGCCAGCCCGGGGGGAAGTGAGAAGGGGCGGGCCTTCTCAGAAGATTCGGAAGTTTCCAAGCCCTCTGAGAGGTTTTCTACGCCTTCCCTGAAGACGCAGGAAACTTCTCAGAAGGCGCGAGGGCTTCTGAAAATCCCCGCCGCCTTTGAGAAGGTCTTCTTCTTCTCACTCCTCCCTCTTACTCGCCGCCGGGAAATCAAAAGGTGCGGACTCCCATCCCCAGACCGCTACTCCCCGGACCTCGCCCAGGATGCGTTCTGATCAGGATTTCGAGGCGAATCCCTCGGTGGCGACGAGGGCATTCTCAGATGGCGCAGACATGGATAACGAGGGACGGGTTGCGGAATGGATATCTTTTCCTCCTCCGAGGGGAGGGCCTACAGTCAACGCGCCTAGTAAGGACGCGCGCCTTCATCTAGGGTACCCTTGTGTCCTTGCCTCTGAGGCTCGTCCTTGCCATTATCACTGGTCGCCCGCCGCCCCCCAAAAAAACCCAACTGCGGCCTCTCAGGGTCTTGCGTCCTTATCACCCGTCCTTAGTATATGTTTTGACTGTACTCTGCAGGTGCGGTTGACAGCACATCGTGGAGCGGTACTGCAGCCCCCCCCCGGAGCACCAGGGCGCGAGCTGAGCAGGGTTTCGGTTTTGCTTCGTGCTGTCCTCGTCCTCCCCCGCTCTGTCCTCGCCCCGCCCGGGGACGCAGGCGAAGGGCAGGGGGCGGTTTTGGGCACGTTTTTCCATCCGCCGACGCTTTCAGCGGGAGGCGCGGCCCACTTTTTTGCTCCCCCTTGCCCCCTCCAGGAAGCGTGAAGATGGATTCCGGCGCGTGGATCGGCGGCCGGCCCCGTTCCCTCACCTGCTCGGCGCGCTCCGCTGCCGAGCGAGCTGGCCACGGCCTCCTCTTTTTCGAGGGGGGCACCTTCCCCCGATCCGGGGATCGGCCCCCCGCGCGCCCGAGCCACGGATATCCCTTCTCCGTGGTGGCTCGGGCCGGGCGGGAGGGGCTTGGCATCGCTCGGACGTGTGCATGTTTCTTTCGGCGAGGACCATCGAGGAGCATCCTCGATCATTTGGCGAAGAAACCACGCACGGAAGCGACCACGAACACAGGGAATGGACGTCCGAGCGATGGCCAGGAGGGGGGATAGGGAAAGGGGGTTGGTTACGAAATTTGCGGCATGCAGCTGGTTTCGGCCCCGCCGAGGGGCCCATTCCTCGATGCATGGCCGCCTCCCGGCGCCGGGAGGCGCCGGGGAAGTCGGCCACGTGAGCCGATTCTCGAACCCCCCTTTGGCTATCCCCCCCCCTTCCGCCCGGCCCGAGTGTTGGCGCGCGCCCGACCCCGGGCCCAGGCAAGCGGCAGAAGGCGCCGGCCAGGGCCTCGGGCCAGGACCGCGCCGGCGGCCCTCCTCCTCCTCCTCCTCCTCCTCCTCCTCCTCCTCCTCCTCCTCCTCCTCCTCCTCCTTTTCCTCCTCCTCCTCCTCCTCCTCCTCTTCCTCCTCCTCCTCCTCCTCCTCCTCTCCTCCTCCTCCTCTCCTCCTCCTCCTCCTCCTCCTCCTCCTCTCGTCCTCCTCCCCCTCCTCCTCCTCCTCCTCCTCCCTCCTCCTCTTCCCCCTATCCTCCTCCCCTCCTCCTCCTCCTCCTCTCCTCCTCCTCCTCCTCCTCCTCCTCCTCCTCCTCCTCCTCCTCTCCTCCTCCTCCTCCTCCTCCTCCTCCTCCTCCTCCTCCTCCTCCTCCTCCTCCTCCTCCTCCTCCTCCTCCTCCTCCTCCTCCTCCTCCTCCTCCTCCTCCTCCTCCTCCTCCTCCTCCTCCTCCTCCTCCTCGCGCCGCCGAGAGCCCGCCCCGCGTTTTTCGAGCAGCGGCGCAGCGTCCTGGCTGGCCGATGTGGGCCCACCAAGGGTCGGGTATATCGGCAACGCGCAGAGGGGTGTAGGGGAGGGGGGAAGGCTTCTTAGAAGCACCCCTGCTTCTTAGGAGGCGCGGGCCTTCTCCATAGACGTAAGGCCGAGGCCTTCTAAGAAGAAGGGTGTTTCTAAGAAGCCTTCCCCCCTCCCCCTAATACCCTCTTCTGCGCGCCGCCAAGTATAGCCAGGACCCCAGGTAAGGGGACCCGGTCAGTCGTAGGGCCCTGGAGCCCCTACAATGGCCAGAATCACTGAACCAGGCTTGCCGTAGCTGGTGTTTTTTCGGGTGGCGGCGGTTCCGGTTAGTGGAACTGGCGAGGGGGGCGTCCCCCAGTACAAACCACTAAACCATGTCCCACTGAACCCAGTTCTGCCACCGCCCGACAGAGGATGTTCGATTCGGTAGCAGGTCAGAAGAGGACAAGATATCCATACCTCTACCCTTCGCCCGTTTTCCCCTTTGGGGGCCTCCTGGGAGGCCCTCGTCGCCACCGCTGGATTCGCCTCGAAATTCTGGTCAGAGCGCACCCTGGGAGAGGTCCGGGGAGTCGCGGCAGCGTCCTGGCTTGCCGATGTGGGCCCACCAAAGGATCGGAGGTTGATAGACCTCCTACTCTGACACGTCGATTAGCAAGTTGGCCGTTTTCGGTCCGCGAGAGGGCGTCGCGGACGTCATTATTGCGGGTCCGGGTCCGTCGGTTTCGGTTCTAGGCCGTTTTTCTCTAAAGGGTGGTTTACTAAAGGGAGGTTTGTCCATCGCCGAAGGTCACGGGGGCCTGGTATGCCCACTCAATTCCGTCTTCAGCATCAATTAGCGTCTGGGAGTTGATGAGGTCGGCTAGCGTCGATTGCCGTCGATTCAGCGTCGATCAGCATCGATTCGCAAGAGCCAACAAGAGGGTATGGGAGCCTCCCGCGAGTTGCCACCGAATAGTGTTCTCAGAACCTGGTCTTGGATTGCGCGAAATGTTCTGAGAACAGGTATGACTGATGCCGCCTTGTTTTAGTCCATTAGCTTTTCATGCTTCCAAGAACATTGATCGTGTTTAAGAGCATTCTCTTGTTCTGAGGATACTTCGTGGTAGGCCTGTAGGAATGCCTGGACCTGGACGGTCAGTCCCTGCTCAACCCTTGTCTTCGACGAATGCAAGTCGGGGCCCCCAAACGGTTCGGTGACAGCGGGCATTCGGGTTGGAGCCAGGGTGGCCCAGCACCGGTTCTGGCCAGCAGGAAATGAATTCTGAGTTCGTGTCAATGCTGTTGCCTTTTTCGGCCTGCGTGGGACATTCCGCACCCGGGGACCGTCAAAGACAGGTCCGGGGTGAAACATTACACCAGATGGACTTGGATCGGGCGAAGAGAACTATGCACATGCACCGATCCTGGCAAGGCCCGTCCTTGACCCAGGATCGGTGCATGTGCCTTCCTGGCCAGGGTAGGAGGGCGTATGCACCGATCCTGGGCTCAGGATGGGCCTGGCCAGAATCGGTGTATGTGCATAGTTTTCTTTTTTCCTCTATTGGACCCCGTGTGGGGTCTGGGTACAGGTTTTGAGGAGGAGGAGGAGGAGGGGGAAGAGGAGGAGGAGGAGGAGGAGGAGGAGGAGGAGGAGGAGGAGCAGGACGAGGAGGAGGAGGAGGAGGAGAAGAAGGAGGAGGAGGAGGAGGAGGAGGAGCGGATTTGGCAGCATCCCTCCTCCTGGCAGTTTTCCTTAGGTCCCAACCAGAGTTCAGACCCCCTGGCCGCCCGAGAGTCTGCCACGCGCAGAGGGGGGTTTTGGGGAAGGGAGAAGGCTTCTCAACAGGAGGCTGCTTCTTAGACGGCGCGGGCCTTATCTATTCAGGAGGGGAAAACACACACAGACACAATTAATCGTCGATTCCCAGGAAAATATGCGAAAATATGGGAAGTGGGGGGGAAGACAGAAACCCAGAAGATATAGGAAAATATGGGGAATCCTTTTATTTGTGTGTATTTATTTGTGTGTCCCAGTTTCCCTTTATCTATAGATATAAGGCCAGCGCCTTCTAAGAAGCAACCTCCTTCCAAGAAGCCGTCCCCCCTCCCCCTACCCCCTGTGTGCGCGCCGCCAGAGGAGGCCTGGATCCCAGGTAGTTCGTGCCGAAGGCCTACCATGCGGCAGGTCGGTACTGGAGCGCTCAGGCGCTCCAAACGCGCTCGCTGCAGTGGGAGTGCGGCGGGTGTGAACGTATGTGTCGAACAGGGCTGGACCTAAACGGTGTTTTTTGGTGATTTCGTGGGCCGTTTTCGTTTCGATTTCGTTTTGCGGTAAAGGAGGATTCGAGACAACGGCGAGGGAGAACGACAACACAACGATAACGACATTCACCGTTTAGGTTCAGCCGTGGTGTCGAAGTAACAACTCCATTTCCTTATGATGGGCATCGCCTTATCTCGACGTCAATCTTGAAGGATTATCTCAGTTTGCTATGGTGGCTGGCGCGGCGATCTAAAACGATCCCGCTTCTGGGCCCGACCGCGCGCTTTGCCCGCTGTTTTCGATTTGCTCCGCCTCGTCGCCGCGCGCGAGGCTGCGGCTGCCCCCAAAAGTGTGTGTGTGTGTGTGTGTGTGTGTGTGTGTGTGTGTGTGTGTTTGTGTGTGTTTGTGTGCTTGCGTATGTGACAGTGAGCATTCGCGTGCAGGCACTGCTGCAGAGTGGTGGCATCTGCAGAGGAGCTGCAGCTGCAGCTGCAGTGCTCAGGTCCATTCAGATTGGCCTTCCCGAAGCCGCTCCGCCTCGCCGCCGTGCTCTCGGCAGGCCTAGCAGCGCCCTTCTCGCCTCGAAGGGGCCCTGCAGGAGGAGAGCAGCCTGGATCTCGGCCTCCATCGACGCATTCCCATCTCCGCCGCGGGGGGGGGGGGGCCTCGGCCGTGCTGGCAGGCCTGCCACCCTGCGTGGAGACGCGTTATTCTTCCAGGGCTCAGGGACCACGCCCCCCAGATGGGATGGGGATAGGTTCCAGGGCCCGACGGCCCCCCCTCCCAGATGGGATTGGGGGGGACGACGACGACGACGGAGACGGTGACGAAGACAACGACGACGACGACGACGACGACGACGACGACGACGACGACGACGACGACGGCGGAGGCGGCGGCGGCGGCGGCTGCTGCGGCGACGACGTCGGCCGCGACGGGAGACGACGCCGACGAGGACGCCGACGTCAACGACGACGACGACGACGACGACGACTGACGACGACGACGACGACGATGAGACGACGATGACGACAACGACGACGGCTACGACGACGACAAGGACGACGACGGGACCGCAACAGCAACCCCCCAGCAGGGGGGCGGCACAGCCGCACCGCCCCACACCCACTGGGGGAGGGGGGGACCCATCGGGGGCCGGGCGATTCCACGTGCATGGTGGGAGGCGGAGGGGCTTGGAGCATCTATTCGGCGGCGAGCGAGGGGGGGAAGTGATAAAACGAGGCGAAGATCGGGACAAAATCGGATCGGGATAACTCGACATCTCTGAGAATCGGCGGGTCTGGAGGATGTATTGGGCGCCGCGCCCATTCCAGAGCGCTCCGGAACGCTCCGGAGCGATTTATCCCGATCCTAGCCCTGTTTTATATTCGGCGGCGAGCGCGGGGGGGAAGTGAGAAGGAGACGGCCTTCTCAGAAGGCGGCGGAGCTTCTCAGAAACCTCCTTGCTTTCTGAGGAGTTTTTTGTTCTGTCTTCGGGGAAGGCTCACAAAACTTCTCAGGAGGCCGGGGGACTTCCGAGCCCTCCGAGAAGGCCCGCCCCGCCCCTTCTCACTTCCCCCCTGGGCGCGCCGCCGATCTATGATCCAGGACTCCAGGCCCCCCCCCCCCCTATCTCATGGCTGGTTCATTTCGCCCCCCCCCCCGCAGCCCCGTGCGATTGGCCCTCCCCCCGCCCCTCGGTGGTCGTGGCCCTCTGGGCATGGCGTGATGGAGGGTCGACGTCCCGCTGCTTCCGCAGACAGTCGTTGGCGTCGCGGTCGTCGTCGTCAGTCTTCGTCGTCATCGTCGTCAACATCGTCGGTGTCGTCGTCGTAGCCGTCGTCGTCGTCGTTGTCGTCGTCGTCGGCGTCGTCGGCGTCGTCGCCGGCGTCGCCGTTGTCGTCGTCGTCGTCGTCGACGTCGTCGTCGTCGACGTCGTCGTCGTCGTCAGTCGTCGTCAGTCGTCGTCAGTCGTCGTTGGCGTCGTCGACGACGTTGGCACTCGAGGCGCCCCCCTGGCGCGCATCCAAGACATTTGCGCGGTCCTCCGAGAAATTACGTGTATGTGCAGCGTATTGATTCTGATGTTTCAAGAAGGAGTTCCTTTCCCAGGAAGGATGTTTCATCCTGAAGGTCTCACTGGCCCATGCCGGCAGGATCCGTCGGAGGACATCCTGACCATGTGCGGCGCGTGGGGGGCGCTGACCAAGCGAAAGGAGCGCGCCAGCCAAGGGGGCAGCAGCCGGAGCTCTCGAGGAGGAGCAGGGGGAAGGCGGATGAGGGGCGGGGATCATGTCGGGGGGGAGGGCTCGGAAGGAGAGGAGGACGAGGATGAGGAGGCGAGGGAGGAGGAGGGGGAGGAGCGAGAGATGAGCCAACCATGAGCGAACGAGGGGGAGGAGGAGAAGGTGGAGAAGCAGGAGGAGGAGGAGGAGGAGGGGAAGGGGAAGCAAGAGAGGAGGAGGAGGAGGAGGAGGAGGAGGCGGAACACGAGGAGCAGGAGCGAGGGAGGGGGAGGAGCAGCAGCAGAATTTCGTGGCAGGCGGCGCCTGCCGCAGGAGGTTGCGCGCGGGCGACGGTGTCTTCCGGGTCTCGGGTGGGCTGTGTCTCTCTGCGGCGAGCGAGGGGGGGAAGTGAGAAGGGGCGGGCCTTCTCAGAAGGCTCGAGAGTCCCCCGGCCTCCTGAGATGTGCTCTGAGCCTTCCCCGAAGGCACATGGGAATTCTCAACAGGCGGGGGGGATTTCTGAGAAGTTTCGCCGCCTTCTGAGATGGCCTTCGCCTTCCTACTTCCCCCTCTCGCTCGCCGCTGAATCTTGGGCGTGCCAAGCGCCGTCTCGGGTCATCGGGTGGGCTGTTCTCAGGCCGCGGTTGCTGGAGAGGCTCGGCAGCAGGCCATTACCCAGGATGGCTCTGGACAGGTGCACGTATAACCCCCCCCGATAATCAATTGCCCCCCCTTTACCATTGAGCGTTGATTATTCACAGCTAACACAGCTTTGGTCCGGGAAGAGAGGCGGCAAGGCCGAACCTTTTTTTTGATCGCGGGGGAAACTTGCGAATCGAGGTTGCTCTCTTCTTATGTTGAGTAGCAAGGACTCCTAAGGATCCCGATTGTCCCGAATGTTCAGAATCCCATGGATCTCTTATGGATTCCGATGTATTGCCGAAGGAATCCCATGGATGTCCGAAGGAATCCTATGAATTCCCCACGGGGTCCTCAGGCAATCTTGTGGAATTCATTGGGAATCTTGCGCTGTTCCTGCGGATCTTATGGATTTTCGAAGGAGTTTTATAGATTGCCTCAGGAAATCCATGGGAATCCTTACGAAATTGATAGAAATCCTCCCCCTCCGCCTCCGCCCCGAACTTTTTTGATCCCCGCTGTTTTTTTTTCCCCGCCAATGAGCCACCATGGACTCCTTCCTACACATGCGCTGTTGAACATTCCCCAATCAGTGCTTGCACTGAAGGGGTCCTAGCGGAGGTTGAAAGATTTGGCGAAAGTTTCCCGCCGATTTTGGTGGCAGGGTGGGTTCCGGTTCCTGGTTCCCAGGTTCCTGGTTCCGGATTCGGGGCCGATTTCGGTGGGCGGCGGGGTTCCCAGGTTGTTGGGTTTTTGGTCGATTTTCAAATCGATCGGTCTCGCCATCGATCCCATTACCTATGTCTCTATCGATCTCATTATCTATCTCACAATCGATCTCATTATCGATCTCACAATCGATCTCATTGTCGATCTCACTGTCGATCTCATTGAGTCGACTTCACCATCGGTCTCACGATCGACCTTGCAGTCGTCCTCTTTATCGATCCCACTAGAGATCTGACAACCGATCTCAATATCCAGATTACTGATTTTCAAACTATCCACTGATTTGGTTGTTTTCGGGTGTATTTGTTTTAAAGAGTTGAGTTTCACACAAAAATCTTAGATTCCGAATCTAAGTTTTTTCCCCACATGCTTAGTGGGGTTCTGGTTTTCTTCCCTGCCGCGTCGCACCCGCGTCTCACCGCACACCTCCCCTCCTCCTCACAGCACTGCTCAGCACAGCTCAACTCAGCTCAGCTCAGCACGGCACAGCTTAGCACAGCTCAGCTCAGCTCAGCTCATCACAGCACAGCACAGCGCAGCACAGCACAGCTCACCGCAGCACAGCACAGCAAAGCACAGCACACAGCACAGCACAGCACAGCACAGCTCAGCACAGCACAGCGCAGCGCAGCTCAGCTCAGCTCAGCACAGCACAGCACAGCACAGCTCACCGCAGCACAGCACAGCACAGCACAGCACACAACACAGGACAGCACAGCACAGGCGTGGCACAGGCGTGGCACGCATGGCATTTCCTCGACACCACAGGGGGGAGCTGTAGGTGGGGACGCTATCCGTTTCGGGCTCGCAAAGCGTGGCAGGCGTGGCACTTCCTCGACACCACAGGGGGGGAGCTGTGGGTGGGGACGCTATCCGTTTCGGGCTCGCAAAGCGTGGCAGGCGTGGCACTTCCTCGACACCACAGGGGGGGAGCTGTGGGTGGGGACGCTATCCGTCTCGGGCTTGCAACGGGTGGCAGGCGTGGCACCTCCTCGACACCACAGGGGGGAGCTGTGGGTGGGGACGCTATCCGTTGCGGGCTCGCACAGCGTGGCAGGCGGGCTGTGCTATCCGGGCTCGACACCACGTCGACAACATGTGCCGTTTCGGGCTCGCAAAGGCGTGGCAGGCGACACCACAGGGGGGGAGCTGTGGGTGGGGACGCTATCCGTTTCGGGCTCGCAAAGCGTGGCAGGCGTGGCACTTCCTCGACACCACAGGGGGGGAGCTGTGGGTGGGGACGCTATCCGTTTCGGGCTCGCAAAGCGTGGCAGGCGTGGCACTTCCTCGACACCACAGGGGGGGAGCTGTGGGTGGGGACGCTATCCGTTTCGGGCTCGCAAAGCGTGGCAGGCGTGGCACTTCCTCGACACCACAGGGGGGGAGCTGTGGGTGGGGACGCTATCCGTTTCGGGCTCGCAAAGCGTGGCAGGCGTGGCACTTCCTCGACACCACAGGGGGGGAGCTGTGGGTGGGGACGCTATCCGTTTCGGGCTCGCAAAGCGTGGCAGGCGTGGCACTTCCTCGACACCACAGGGGGGGAGCTGTGGGTGGGGACGCTATCCGTTTCGGGCTCGCAAAGCGTGGCAGGCGTGGCACTTCCTCGACACCACAGGGGGGGATCTGTGGGTGGGGACGCTATCCGTTTCGGGCTCGCAAAGCGTGGCAGGCGTGGCACTTCCTCGGCACCACAGGGGGGGAGCTGTGGGTGGGGACGCTATCTGTTTCGGGCTCGCAAAGCGTGGCAGTCGTGGCACTTCCTCGACACCACAGGGGGTGCGCTGGTGTGGTCTCCCTATCCGTTGCGGGCTCGCAAAGCGTGGCAGGCGTGGCACTTCCTCGACACCACAGGGGGCGCGTTGGGGGTGGTTCTCTATCCGTTGCGGGCTCGCACAGCGTGGCAGGCGTCGCACTTCCTCGGCCCCACAAGGGGTGCGCTGGGGGTGGCCACCCTATCCGTGACGGGCTCGCAAAGCGTGGCAGGCGTGGCACTTCCTCGGCACCACGGGGATTGCGCTGGGGGTGGTCTCCCTATCCGTGACGGGCTCGCAAAGCGTGGCAGGCGTGGCATCTCCTCGACACCACATGGGGTGCGCTGGGGATGGTCTCCTTATCCGTTGCGGGCTCGCACAGCGTGGCAGGCGTCGCACTTCCTCGGCCCCACAAGGGGTGCGCTGGGGGTGGCCACCCTATCCGTGACGGGCTCGCAAAGCGTGGCAGGCGTGGCACTTCCTCGGCACCACGGGGATTGCGCTGGGGGTGGTCTCCCTATCCGTGACGGGCTCGCAGAGCGTGGCAGGCGTGGCATCTCCTCGACACCACATGGGGTGCGCTGGGGATGGTCTCCTTATCCGCTGCGAGCTCGAAAACCGTGGCAGGCGTGGCACTTCCCCGACACCACAGGGGATGCGCTGGGGTTGGTCTCCCTAGCCTTGACGGGCTCGCAAAGCGTGGCAGGCGTGGCACTTCATCGACACCACAGGGGGTGCGCTGGGGGTGGTATCTTTATCCGTTGCGGGCTCGCAAAGCGTGGCAGTCGTGGCACTTCCTCGACACCACAGGGGGGGCGCTGGGGGTGGTCTCCCTATCCGTTGCGGGCTCGGAAAGCGTGGCAGGCGTGGCACTTCCTCGACACGACAGGGGGTGCGCCGGGGGGTGGTCTCCCTATCCGTTGCGGGCTCGCAAAGCGTGGCAAGCAATATGGCGTTGGATGACACATAGGGAAACATTCGCGACGAGGGCTCAGAACGCAGGATTGCGCATATATTAAAAACATAAGCAAGCACATCATATTTAAATTAAGTATGTGGGGTTCTTCGGTAGCGTAATTATCTTGGTCCTTGGGCTCCTCGTCCTCTTCCTCCTTCTCCTCTCCTCATCTTCTTCTGGATCCCCCCGTTTATTTTCATAGGATTCTTATGTGTGCCCCAAGGAACCCTATGGATTTCCGAAGGAATTCCATGGATTTCCATCCTCGGGAACCCGATGGATTTCTATCATTCTTATGAACGTTCAGGGTCATCTTGATCATCATCATCGTCACCATCTTCATCATTATGCTGACGTTCTCCGGGAAAACGTTTATTATCCCCCCTGGACCCCGAACTTCAGCATCCTCGGGAGGTTATTATCGGGAGCTCTGGATTTCCCGTCGGTCCTTGAAAGCAGGTATTTGTTGATGCCTGGGTCCCATTCTACTTTAGGCGCCTTCCTGCTTCAAGAGTGGAGTGGTGCTCCCTCCTCCATCATCATCAGGGGGCGGGCGGAAGCCAAATCAAAGCTAGTCTCGCTGCCATCCTGCATAAAGTCTCTACCCACTTCTTCCGACCGACGGGTATTGCTACACCCGTTCCTGCTGGCTGGATTCGTTCGTCCTCAGGTTTCGGAAGCGCTCCTTGCTGCTGCTGCCGATGGTGGTGGTGGTGGTGCTGCTGCTGCTGCTCCTCCTCTTCCTTCCCCGGAGGGAGGAGAAGCGACACCACCACCACCACCAGCGCGGGGCCACCTCCAGCGAGGAGGTCCACGATGCCCCCCCGAGCTGGAGATCCGAGATGTCTCCCTCTGGACGCCGCGAGCCTGGAGGGGCATGCACCGTCAGGGAGGCCCTTCCTGCCCCCCCTTGACGGCGGGTGATGTCGTCCTTTCTTGCTCCTATCCTCAGTAAGCAGTTCAGAGCCCCCCCCCCCGGGTTCTCGTTGGCACCGCACCGTAGTTCAGTGATTCTTGGAGGCGGTTTTCGTGGAGCGATATCTTTCGCACCGCGCAGAAGAAACGAACATGCATCATTCCCGCGCCTTGGCTCCGGCGGTATCCCCATGGGAAGCTGTAGGATTCCTAGATGTTTCTCATGGTTATCCTCCTCTCCTCCTCCTCCTCCTCCTCCTCCTCCTCCTTCTCCTCCTCCCCCTCCTCCTCCTCCTCCTCCTCCTCCTCCTCCTCCTCCTCCTCCTCCCCTTCCCCCGTCCCCCCTCCCCCCCCCCTCCCCCTCCTCCCCCTCTCCCCCCTCCTCCCCCCTCCTCCCTCCTTCCTCCTCCCCCCCTCCTCCCCCACTCCTCCCTCCTCCCCCCTCCCCCTCCTCCCTCCTTCCTCCTCCCCCCTCCTCCCCCGCTCCTCCCTCCTCCCCCCTCCCCCCCCCTTTCCCTCCGCTTTAAACATCCCTCGAGCGTGCGCGCGCTCTTCTCGGCGAGGCCAGCGCCAGAAAAATCTCGGACCATCCCGGAGGCACTGCGCGCGAGCGCGACCGAGCACTTCGGCGGCGAGCGCAAGCGTGGGGGAGGCGAGAACGAGAATCAGAGGAGCATGTAGTGTTGATATTGATAGTTTTCCAGATTTCCAGGTTTTCCTGTTCTTCCGCGCGGGCTCCAGGGACGACTGGTCGAGCGCATTCCCAGAAGGCCTTCTCAGAAGGCCTTCTCATAAGGCGGGGGTGGGCAGGCCTCCTACCCTGACAGGTCGATTAGCGAATTGGCCGTTTTCGGTCTGCGAGCGGGCGCCGCGGCCGTCGTTTTTGCGGGTCCAGGTGCGTCGATTTCGGTCCCAGGCCGTTTTCACTAAAGGGAGGTATGCTAACGGGAGGTTTGTCCACCGCCGAATAAGACGCGTCAGTTCCCCTGCCTTCTGAGAAGTGTTCTGAGCCTTCCCCGAAGATGCAACAGAAAACTTCTCAGAAGGCGCGAAGGTTTCTGAGAAGTCCCGCGGCCTTCCGAGAAGGCCTGTTCATTCCTACTTCCCCCCCCTCGGCGCTCGTGCACGGGGAATGGACGTCGGAGCGATGGTCTTGGCCTTCCAAATGGGCTCGGAGTAGATGGGGCCGTAGGATCGCATCGCATCGCCGATGCATCGACGATGCATCGCCGATGCGGCTCGATGCAGGAGCCCGATTTGCTTTACGTCGACGTCGCTGGTTCATCGCCGACGTTGCTGGTGCATCGCCGATGTATCGCCCATAGGTATTCGATCCATCGGTAATACATCGGCGATGCGGCGCGACCTGCCGCCCCAATCTGCTCCGACCCCACCTAGGATCAAGTCGGGCACGTCCCTGTACAGGAGGTCTACTCAAAAATAGCAGACACAAATAGTCTGGGGACGATGTTTCGATGTTTGTTCCAGTATGTCTATCAGCATGTCTGTGGTTGTTTGTGTTTTTTTGTTGTATTATTCTTTCAAAATGTCCACCTGTAGGAGGACATGCCCGACCTCTCTGTAGATGACAAGTTACCCGGGAGGGAGGCATGCCCGATCTCTCTGTTCGCCTCGACCGGGAGGTCCCGAGCGAAGTGACCCCCCCCTCCCCCTCAGAAATCGTGGGGGGCAGGAGGGGTAGGGTTCGCATGTGGGCCCCCGACAGGCCCCTCCCCTCGCCTCTCCTCCGAGGCGTGCCCCTGCTGCACCTGGGGATCCTGGCGGCCTGCCCCCCCGAGGCCGAGGTGCGCACCACCTCCCTCGAGGGCCCGGCGGCCGAGGGCCTGGTCTCCTCCTCCTCCTCCTCCTCCTCCTCCTCCTCCTCCTCCTCCTCCTCCTCCTCCTCCATCTCTCTCTCTCTCCTCCTCCTTCTCCTCCTCCGTCTCCTCCTCCTCCTCCTCCTCCTCCTCCTCCTCCTCCCCCCCTCTCCTCCTCCTCCTCCTCCTCCTCCTCCTCCTCCTCCTCCTCCTCCTCCCCCTCCTCCTCCTCCTCCTCCTCCTCCTCCTCCTCTCCTCCTCCCCCTCCTCCTCCTCCTCCTCCTCCTCCTCCTCCTCCTCCTCCTCCTCCTCCTCCTCCTCCTGGAGGCCCGAGGGGAGCCCAGACTCGGAGAGCCCTGAGGCGGGGGTCCGTGCAAACGGGGGTCGGCCAGGGCGCCGGGGCACCGGATCCTGCAGGATCCCGCGAGGGCCCCCTCTGGCCGACCCGGGTCGGCGAGCTGCTCGTGGCCGCGGGGCGGCCGCACATTTTCTGGCTGACCCGGGTGTGCGAGGACCTGCGTTGCATGATGGGACTGATTTCCACCACCACTACCATATGTTGGAGAAGGAGGAGGAGGAGAAAGAAGAGGAGGAGGAGGACCTCTCCCTCCAACCTATGGTAGTGGTGGTGGAAACCAAGCCCATCATTGCAGTCCTTGTTCCTGCACTGCAGTTTTTGGTTTCCTGCTGACCCGGGTCTGGATTGACCCGGGCCAGAAGAGCCCCGATGGGGAGCCCAGACCACGCAGCAGCAACAGGGAGTGCCGTCCTCGCCGCGCCCCCCCGCAGTTTTTTGAGTCGGGCCCGTCCCTCCACACCTTAGGCGATGCTTAAGAAAACTTAAGTTGTCGGCCAGAGTCTCGATTAGTCTTAGCGTTTCGATGTAAATCTTTCGATGTTAATAGAAATGTTCGGCTTTTATTCAACTTCTGAGACTATGAATTTCTTAACCCATGATTTCTTAAGCACTTCGCAGGGTGTACAGGAGGAGTGTTCACAGATAGTAGAACAACAGTGTAGCCGTTTTGGAGTATGTTTTGCGTGTTGGTTATTCTTCGTCGAAGATCCACTTGTAGGGGGACGCACCCGACTTAACCCCCGTTGCAGTCGACACGCATAGCAAGGATGGGCAACCCTCCCAAGTGTACCCCTGCATCCTTGCCTCCTCGGTGCATCCCTGGTCATGTTCATCGGCCGCGCCCAGCTCGAGAAGATTCGAAACGGCCGTCTGAGGCCCTTGGGTCCTTATCGTGCGTCCTTGTGGTACGGGTCGACTGTACGTTTTCCTCGGAGGGCGCTTTTGTTTGAGACTCGGGCCGCCTTACCTGCATGTGTTTCGTCCTCCGATGTTTGTCATGAGACTCGGGCCAGCTTGCCGCATGTGCTTATGCCTCAGATGACGTTCGTTTCTTGAGGCTCGGGCCAGTTTACCTGCACGCACTCGTTCCGTAGAGGGCGTTCTGTCTTGACACGCAGGCCAGTTGATCTGCACGTATTTGTTCTTAGGAGGGCTCTTTTAGGAAGCCAGTTTACCTGCCTGGCATCCCCCCTCGCGGGCGATGTTTCTCCCCCAATCCCCGAGTTTCGCCCGAAAAGTTTGGCCGCTCAGAAAAATGGGGAAACCTTGGGATACACCCCAAGGGAGCTATTCGGACGCACCCCTATCGAGGATGGAAACCTCCCCATCGTATATCCCAGGGTTGGGCCCCAAATCCCTGGTCCATTCGGAACCCCCCCACGACGCCTGGGATGGGGGTCGACATATCCCCTGTCACCCCCCCCCCCGCGCAGCTCCGCCCCTCCGCCTCCTCCGCCCCTCCGCCGCAGTTTTTGCGGCGCGTGCCGGGTCGAGGATTCGGGCCGCTTCGGGCCCTTGCGCCCCGGCCTGCGTGAAATCCAGATACCCTCTCGGCCCTCGCCACGCCCCTCCCCCTTAAGAGGAGGAACAGTCGGGCCGGGCGAAAGGGGGGGATTGGGAAAGGGGGGGTTACGAAATTTGCTGCATGCAGCTGGTTTCGACCTCACCGAGGGGCCTATTCCTCGATACATGCCGCCTCTGGCGCTGGGCGGCGCCGGGAAAATCAGCTACGTGAGCTGATTCTCAACCCCCCCCTTTGCTATCCCCCCCTTCGCCCGACCCGAAACAGGTACCTCGGCGGCGCGCAGAGGGGGGTAGGGGGGAGGGGGGAAGGTTTCTCAGAAGGAGGCCGCTTCTTAGAGGGCCCAGCCTTCACATCTATAGATATTGTAAGGCCCGTGCCTTTCCAGACGCGGGGCTGCTTCCAAGAAGCCTTCCCCCCTTCCCCTCCCCCCATCCCCCCTCTGCGCGTGGCAACACCCATACCGCTACTCTTCGCCTGGTTCCCCTGGCGGATCCAGAACAGAGCGTGGGATCACGAAAGCAGCATCAAAACGGAAAACCCCCGGTGCTCGGGGGAGGTTGCCGCACCGATCAACGATGTGTTGTCAATCGAGCCTTCAGGGTGGGCTCCTTCCTCGGAGGAGGAAGAGTTACCCATACCGCGACCCTTCCTTCGCTCCCCTTGTTTGGGCCTCCTGGGAGGCCCTCCTTGCCACCGATGCATTCGCCTCGACATGCTGGCCAGAACGCACCGTGGGAGAGGTCCTGGGAGTAGCGTTCTGTCGGGCGTGTCCCCCTACAGGGGGATTTTCGACGAAAAATAAAAAGTACCCCCAAAATCCACCAAAAAGGTGGACAAAATACTCAAAACATAGCCCCCAGACTATTTTTGCATCATTTGTTAATTATGTTTTGGGTATTTTTTATTTTTCGTCGAAAATCCCCCTGTAGGGGGACAGGCCCGACTTGAGAGTAGCGGTATCGGTACCTTTTTGTTCCCCCTCGCGTTCCTCCTTCATGCACATGAGAGCTTGCCAGAGCCCGGAGACAACCGGCCTCCGCTCCTTGCTCTGCCCTGTGCCGCCGTCCGCGGCAGCAGTGGCGGCGTCGCATCTCGGCGACCCTCCCGCCCGCTCCGCGCCAGCCTGGAGTCCTGGAGAGCACGCTCCTCCTGGACGTCGGCTTCTACCAGCAGCCGCTGGACATCACCACCCACCAGACCACCCCAACCCAACCCGAAGGCTCAGCTTTACCCTCGATTTCCAGTGGGGGGGGGTCGGGAAACGTCGAAAAACACACGTGGAGCCCTTACCCCCCCCCACCCGAAATCCGGTCTTCGGGTTGGGTTGGGGTGGTCTGGTGGGTAGTCAGGACAGGGCCCTCCTGCTCAGGCGTGCGCCGGCCCCGCCCTGGAGGGTCGAGGGTGGACGGGCCGTTTCCCTTGCACCTTCGGGGGGCCTCCGCCGGTCCCCCCAGACTCAGGAGGAAAAAAAAAGCACAGACACAATTAATCGTCGATTCCCCAGGAAATATGGGAAAATATGGAAAGTGGGGGGGAATACAAAAACCCAGAAAATATGGGAAAATATGGGGAGTATTTTTATTTGTGTGTATTTATTTGTGTGTCCTGGGGCCCCTTCACAGACAGGCACCTTGTCCTGCACCGGACGTGGGCTCGGTGCGGCCTCGACGCGGATTTGGCGCGGACCCGGCACGGATTCCGCACGCAAGCGGCGCGTTCGGCACAGATTCGGCACGGTGGCGATTTTGATGGCTGGCGCGATGGGGCAGGTGCGGCCCCCCAACGATGCAACAAAAGGCCACGGTTTGACGATGGGCCCTTTTTGAGGCGCGTGGCCTAGAGACCGCGGGAGGCAAACGTGGATCCCCAGAGAGCATTGGAGAGTTCTGGGCCCGGGCCCCGGAGGGCTGATGTCTGGGATCTGCAAGGGGCCCGAGGGCACGCCAGCTCCTGCCTCGCCGCCCTTTTTCCCCCCCTCCCATCCTCCTCTGCTTCGTTCCTCCTCGTGCTCGTCCCCCTCCACATGTTCGTCCTCGTCCTCGTGCTTGTCTTCCTGCTCGTCGTCCTCCTGCTCGCATCTCTGCCCTCCCCGTCATCCGCGCTGTCGTCCTAGTCGTCCGCCACCTTGTCGTCGCCATCATCTTTACGAGCCCAACGGTCAACATCGGCGCTTCCCCTTCTTGCCCGATCAGGTTTCATATCGCCCGCTTACATGGCAGTACAATCTGCAAATTGCGAGTCGGTGATAATCGTTCCTTTAGTTGTCCCCTTAATTGTTCCCTCAATCTCTAGGCCTCCCTGGTGGGGCCCGAGTAGATGGGGTCGCGAAGGATCGCGCCGCATCGCCAATGCATCGGCGACGTCGGCTTGGAGGAAGGCGGGCTCCACATCGAGCCACATCGCCTATGCATAGACGAGGCGGCGCGATCCTCCGACCCCGTCTACTCAGATCCCATCCAGGTGGCCTCCAGAATCGTTCCTTTGACTGTTGATCCTTTCCTTCAGGGGCTGCCGATCGCTTCCTCAATCGTTCCTCGCCCTCCTCCCCCCGCCGCGTTCGGCAGCAAATCGTGGGAGCTTCGTATTCCTCGCACTCACGCCTCTCTGGCGCACTGGCGTCGATCCAGCGCCTGGTAATCCATGAGGCAGCGCCGACCCGGCGTCGACTGGCGTCGATTTGGCGTACACCTTCGGCGATGCTTAAGAAAACTTAAGTTTTCGGCCAGAGTCTCAATTATTCTTAATGTTTCAATGTTAACCCTAAGATGTTAATCGAAACATTGGGTTTTAATTCAAGTTCTGAGACTATGAATTTCTTAACCCATGATTTCTTAAGCATTTCGCAGGGTGTACAGCGCCGACCTGGCGCCGACTTGGCCGACGAGGCTCCCACGGGCTGCCGCCGAAGCCGCGCCCGCCAGCTACCGGCCCCTCGTCCGCCGCGACGCGGCGCCTCGGGAGCCGGGGCTCCCGCGCTGCGCGGCCGTCGGGGCGTGCGCGGAGGAGACGGGCGCCGCCGGGCGGGCGAGCTCCGCGGCGGCCAGGGGCGGCCAGGGGCGGCGGCCGCGAGGCGGCCCCCGCAGGGCCTCGAGTCGATTCGGCGCCGACTCGGGTCAACTCGATTCGACGCCTCCGACTCGAGTCGCCTCGATCTCGACGTCCGATTCCGGTGCGACTCCGGACTTGGGATCCCGATGTGGCTTCGGGTTTGGCAGTGCGGGCCCCTTGGTCGGCGGCGAGCCCCGGGGGGGAAGTGAGCAGGGGAGGTTTTTCCTGAGCCTCCCCCGAAGCCGCTGAGCACCTGTCAGAAGGCGCGAGAGTTTCCGAGAAGCTGCGCCGCCTTCTAAGAAGGCCTTCTCCTTCTCGCTTCCCCCCCTCGCTCGCCGGCGACCGATTCCGATGCGGTTCGGCCCCCGGATTCCGATGTGGATTCGGGTTTCGCAATGTAGGCCTCAATAGCATGCCGATTTTTGTCGCCGATGCGACTTCTCCCGACCTTGCCGCCGATTCGTCCGCCGATCCGATTCCTTTCGATCACCGATCCGACTTGTCGATTCGAGTCTGGGCTCTCCTGGCCATCTCCCCTCGTAGTGGAAAAGTTCATGCGCTGATAACCAGCACACACGCGACCCCTGGGTGCCCAGACCTCCATCATAGATGCTCGTTTTCGGGACCTCCCTAGGGCCCACCTGACGGTTCTGTTCGGCTCTAGTCCGACTCTAGTTCGACTCTAGTCCGACGCCAAGTCGACTCAATTTTGACTCGGGGTCCGACTCAGGTCCGACCCTGGTCCGACTCAGGTTCGACCCAGGTTCGACTTGGGTTCAGCCCAAGTCGGCGGACGTTCGTCTCATCTTCAGCGCACTAGTGGAGCGAGTGGCGCCAGGAGGGTCCCCAGAGCGAGCATCGAACTCATCGGGCCCTGAAGAAATCACGAGGGGCGGTGTGTGTGTGTGTGTGTGTGTGTGTGTTCGCTGCTGTCGGCCTCCAGGGGCCCTCCTCGTCGGACCTCGCACCGTCCACAGGACGAGCCCGAGGATGAGAAGCCGCCCCGAGGATTGGGCAGAGATTTTTTGGAACGCCGCGGGAGTTGCTGAGAGCACTGGGGGATAAGAGCGGATCCGACTGTGGGTTCTATCCAGCCGAATTAGGTGTGGGTTGCACGTGCCCTAAGTGGCGTGAGGGAGCACAGATCTGGGCTAGGTGGGCGGAGCCAGCTTCGCGGAGTTACCTCGTCGTTCTAAGTCACGTAGGGCACTTGTAACCCACTTATTAAGTTGGGTTCGGCCTGACAAAAAAAACTCGCTTTAACATCCATTTCTAAACCCTTGCATCCCCTCAGCAACCACCACGGCGACCGAAGTTCTGGGGGTCGAGGTCACGAACATTTCGGGGCGTCCGGGTTCTGGGCCTTGGTATCTCAGGGGGACGTCCGTTTGGGCTGTGGGCCATGGCTGTGTTGTCAGATGGCGGTCCCCGCCCGAACCGGAGCCCCTCCTCGGGTGCCCAACAACCCGTATTAATACTTCAAGCGCCCTAGTATCCTTGCTCGTTTCCTACTCCGCCTCCCTGTAAGTTTAGGCGTGCGTTGTTTTTTTTACCCCACATCCTATGTGCTGTTCTTAATTTCTCTGCACACCTCCGCGCAGGAACCTCACACCTCACCCCCTCCTCCTGTCATCACCATCCCATCATGATCACCGGCCATCATGATTACCCGCTCACTCTCTCGCTCATTCACTCATCACCCACTCATTCGTTACCAGGTCATTTATTTCATCATGGTCATCATCTGCAATCATCATCACCATCGTTCATCGTTACCATCTTTCACCGACCATCATCATCGTCATCATCGTCACCACTCATCATCCGAATCCTCGTCATCACCCTCATTATCACTCGACGACTCATCATCATTATCCTCCTCAGCGTCATCTTCATCACCCACTCACTCATCATCATTCAGACATTCATCACCACTCACTCATCACTTTGTCATCACCCACCCCCTAGCTTGAACATGGAGGAAGTATCAAACGGGAGCCTCGTCTTTGAGTGAATTGCGAGGAAGTCTCAGGCGGGAACCCCTCCCATTGGGGCCCGCACTTCACGTTCGAATCCGAGGTGTGTCATCCTCAAACTTGTAACTGTCGTCATTTCTGGACTCCTCAGGCTTAGAATGGAGGACGAGAGGGCCTTGTCTGTGAGTGCATTGCAACGAAGCCTGAGGCGGGAGCCCCCTTCCTCATGGGGCCCGCACAACACGTTCGAATCCGAGGCGGGTCATCCTCAAACCTGTGACTATCGCCTTTTTTGGGGATCGCATAATTGAACACGGAGGAAATATCAGGCGGGAGCCTCGTCTGTGAGTGAATTGCGAGGAAGTATCAGGCGGGAATCCCCTCCTTATGGGGCCGCTTTTTCATGTTCGAATCCGAAGCGGGTCATCCTCAAGCTTCTATTTGTCGTCATTCTTGGGCTCCTCAGATTTGAATCTTAAGGAAGTGTCAGGCGGGAGCCTCGTCTGTGAGTGCATTACAAGGAAGCCTGAGGCGGGAGCCCCCTTCCCTATGGGACCCGCACAACACGTTCGAACCCGAAGCGGATCATCCTCAAACTTGTAATTGTCGTCGCTTTTGGGCTCCCTAAGCCTGAGTATGGCGGAAGTCTCAGGCGGAAGCCCCGTCTGTGAGCACATTGCAACGAAGTTTCAGGCGGGAACCCCCTGCCTTATGGGGCCCGCGCTTCATGTTCGAATCCGAGCGGGTCATCCTCAATCCTGTAACTGTCGCCACTGTTGGGTTCCTCAGGCTTGAATGTGGAGGAAGTATCAGGCGGGAGCCTCGTCTGTGAGTTAATCCCAATATGAGGCCCGCACTTCATGTTGGTAATCCGAGCGGGTCATCGGAAACTTTTACCTGTCGTCAGTTTTGGGCTCCTCAAGCCTGATTGTGGAGGAAGTCTCGGGCGGGAGCCTCGTCCGTCAGTGGATTCCAGGAAGTCTCAGGCGGGAGCCACCTCCCTATGAGGCCGTACTTCATGTTGGTAGTCCGAGTGGGTCATCGGAAAATTGTAACTGTGTCCTTTTTGTTGGTCTCCTCAGGCCTGCCTCTCAGTGCGGGAGCCTCGTCGTGGCGGGAGCCTCGTCGTGGCGGGAGCCTCGTCGTGGCGGGAGCCTCGTCGTGGCGGGAGCCTCGTCGTGGCGGGAGCCTCGTCTTTGGAGCCCGCAGCTCCAGGTTCGAATCCGAGCGGGTCACCGGGTTGTCCTAGCTCTCGAACGGGTAGTTGTCGTCACTGTTGGGTTCCCCGAGGGGGGTGCGAGCTCTCGCGGTCGACTCAAAAGGCTCGGAGGTACAGAGGACATCAGGTGCAGCAGCGAATATGAAGCTGGAGCTGCAGTAGCGCGGGGATGACCCCGGGAAGTCTCTGTCCGCCGCCGACTGGAGAGCGCTGGGGGGCAAGTCCAAGTTTGGAGAGGCGCTGGATATGGTGAAGAATCTGTCCGCATCGTACAGCCGATGCTACTGGAAAGGCGGGCCGGAGATGCTGCTCCCGATCTTCATTGGCCACTTCACCTACGCGTCCCACAGATGCTGGACGATTTTCATCAAAAAGGACGTCTTCCAGTCTTCCTGGCGTTGGAGGTCTGGCGGCGCGAGTACGTGCGCTCTCTCCGGCATAAGGCCAAGCAGGACGGGGGCCGCGCCCCATTACCTCGGGCGCGACGTCGGCCCGTACACGCGCGAGGGGTGACGCGAGGGAAAAGACGATGACGGGCAGGCGGTGCACGTGAGCCCGGAAAGCCAGCGTTTCCCGGATATTCTCACGGCGTTCGAGCACCACGTCGCGACCAAGGCGGCGCGCGACGGGCCCGATCATCACCAGGTGGTGCCATTCCTGGCGAAGCTCATGCAGAACATGGGCTGCGAGAGCGAGGGGGCCCCGAAGACGGGGGACGGCTTCCGCATCGTGAAGACAACGGCCCGGTCCTCAAGCATATGAGTTTGCAGGTGTGCGCCATGTGGGTCTACCGCTGCGAGAAGCCCACCGGCCTGGGAGAGACAAGGCCCCTCGCGGCACCTGGACTTCGACTTCGCGCTACGCTACGCGCTGTGCGCGTCCCACATGCAGCGCCTGGCCCCCGAGCTCCGCGTGCCCTTCTTCGAGGGTTCCACCATGCCACGAACGTGCGCGGGTCGACCTGTTCCACGCGAGGCTGGACTTACTGCGAGGCTCACGAGGAGGCCCGCGTCGCCGCGGCCCGCTTCCTCGCGCGGCACGAGTGGCCTTCGATCTGGGAGACGCAGGAGGCGCAGGAGAAACTCTTCCGCGCTGCACCAGACGCAGGCGGAGGGCCAGGAAGGGGAGGAAGACTCAAGGGCCCTTCCCGCCGCCCCGACAGGGAGAAGCCCAGAGCGACGGTGCGCCGGCGCGTCTCCATGGTAGCAATGCAGGTGGCGCCTAACCGCGAGGGCATCGCCCTGGCGCGCGAGGAGAATCTAAGAAACCCTGGCACCGGCAGTGCCAGAGCGACGCGGCCGCGCAGAGTGCGCACCTCGAGGCGACCGCCGGGGGGGGGCGCCTGTCGCGACGAGGGCGCCGAGGCTGGCGAGGGCGTGGAGCACCTGGGCGCGCCCCCCCCGGCGGTCCGAGCGCACTTCCAGCCAGTCCCGACGCGGGGCGTCGACGGGTAGCAGGGCGCGGCGGACGCGCTGATTGTCGCGCGCCGCAAGCTACTCACGAGGTTGGCGAAGGAGCTCCTCGCGCCCAGGCGGCTCGCGAGGTGCGGGCGCGCCTGAGCCGACGCAAGCGGCGACCGCTCCTGCGCCCGCGACCGGGCGCCGACCGCCGGCGACCGCGGCGTGCGAGGAGAGACGCGTCTGGGCGAATCTGCGCGACGCCCCCAGGGCAATTCCGACGAGGATGACGCGGGCGCAGAAGTACATCAACGCGAGGATGGGGCCGGGGGGCGCGCGGAAGAGGCCGGGGCGGTTACGGGG